AATACTCAAAGGCGATAAATTCATCCATTAATGAATCTGTTTCTCTGAACTAGAGAATATACCGTGATCCTAATAGGCAAGGCAAAACAGGAGATAGAGAGAAAACATGCAGTGGAACATTTCTGACATTGACAACAGCTATTAATATATTACAAAGAACACATTGTCAAGCTATTTAGGTTGCAACTCTTGCAACTTGCCCTCTAAAATTCTTTTGTTACAAAGAGGAAATAAGTTTAGCCCAGCTGCAACTTTATTCCTTTCTTCCATGCTTTAAATAAAGAACCACCTTGCAATAAGCCCTTTCCCTCTCCAATTTCTCCAGTCCAAGGTGGTCCAGCAGGCAGGCACTGGATGAAGGCTTAAAGCACCCTCTGCTATTCCTGGCTCTGACACTGACCTGCTGCACAGAGGGCAGCTTGGTTGACATCTCTCTGCCTCTGCTTCCCCTTCCAGCCCTTGTTTACCCTGGCTATTTAGGCAGCAAGCTTGTCAGGGCAGAGACTGCTCTTGTTGGGCCTGTACAACAGCTGGCAAAACAGACACAAGCTACCAGACACAACTGTAATACCACTATACTCACCAAAAACCCCAAAGGTTTTGTGCTACTGCTCAGTTACAGCTTAGCTGCAGAAAGCATTCTTAAGCCTTAACTTTTCTGTGATATGCTGCCATGCATTTTTGGAACAAAAATCCTCCATTCACCTTACGTCACGAAGACAGGGCTTGACTCTTGCTTCAGCTGCTCCTATGACTAAGTGAAGCAAATATCTCAGTGTAGGGACTATCTTTTTACCATGCCCACGACAAGGTCTTGTTGCAGTAGAGGTCTAGTTAATATGACTATAGAGAACAAGTGGCAGCCTGACATAGAAAGACTTGTAGGACAGGTGCCAAGAACCACATTCATCTAAAACCACTCTACACTTCCATAATACTGACACAATATTCTATTAAGCATTTGCTTACTGCTGACTCAAAGAAGACACATCACATTTTTCATACTAAGAATGTGCTTTAAGAACCCTTCCAAGTCAGGCCCTGCTGTCCCTAACATACAGTAATTCACACTGATGCATACCTAGTGATTTTTTTTTCCCCCCCCTCATAAGGAATGAAGTGTACAGAAACACTGCTCAAAGCAAACTTTTCTTCTGCAAATGCACAACTGAATCAATACCTTAAATACTTAACTTCGCCAACACCTGCAGCTCCTGATTAGCTGAATCTACCAGATAGGGCAAATATGAAATTGTCAATGCTGTGAACATGCATTTCAGCTACTGTCTGGGATTAAGTCCACATCTTCCTTCGACATCATTAACAAATCAATTGAATATTTTTTAAGCCTGTGTCCCGAGATAACCACAGCCGGCACTTTTTAAAGGTAGATAGTCAGGATGAGAAGTAGATAATCTTAAATCAAATTGTTTCAGATATACTACAATTTCTCTTTTCCATGCTGGTAACAGCTTGGATTTTGCAACCAGTCTCTTACAAATTTTCTCTCTTCCCTATTTCAGCATAAAGGTGGTGTACAAGCAAGCTGACTGCACAAACAATTGTTTCACATACAAGCTAAAGCCTGTTCCCTCTGATCTTCTTGTTACAAATATCTGAAGATATGCCGAACAGAAACAACATTTTAAAGAAATGGTGTCATTTTCAAGTTAATCACCCTTTTAAAAAATGGGGAAGTGGGGGCAGGGGGATAAGTTTCACAGCTATCTTACACTCTAGGCTCAAATTTATCTTTATTTACAAAGCATTAACAGATGGCTTATCAAAAGCCATTTAACAGCAGAAATGACCAAACTATTCTGAGTTGGTTTTTTGCTTTAAACAGTAAATACTCCCTAAACTAGTTTTTAACTTATGCCAGCCTCCCAGGGACCATCAGTTTGAGATCTAATGTTAGAACCATGCACGTTATTTCATTAAGTACATTTACCATAAACGGTTCCAGTCTTTGCTTTCTCAATAGTGGACAGTATTGCACAAAAACCTCTTAAAAGCAAAAACAAGTGTTCACCTCATGCAATATTATCCAGAACGTGCAACAGATGCTTCAGCTCTTCAGCAAGTCAAAGTCAAGCCTGACAAACTCAAGATTTACTCCACTGACAAACTCAAGACTTACTCCGTATCACTAAAAAAGCACAGTTATCAAGAAGTTATCCAGCTATCCATCATCTACATCACCATTCTATTTACTCAGTGATATTTTAGCTTAAATACCTACTCAGCTCAAACCTAACTTTCAATGAGCAACCTACCAGGTTTCTACTTAGAATTATTATCAGAAAGAAAGACTGCATGCCCAGAAGCTTACCTCAACCACCTCCCTAACTTGTATTGAATAGTCAAATAAAATATAACCTCTCTCTGCAAGTCTTACTCCCTCAATTCCATGAGCAGCAATCTTGGAGATTGCTCTTGATCTTGGAGACATGCATGAGGAGCAAGTGGTACAGAAGAAACATGTATATTTAAAACCCTCAAGCTGCCACAGAGACTATTAAATTCTTCTTCGGGTAAGTACAAACTTTACAGCTGTACAACAACTCAACACATGCACTCAAGCTGGTTCTTCTGGAGATGTTCAGGAACCTAGACCACTAGGTACCGACCGTGATATGCCCTTGTCTTGTTGTCTGAACTGTCTACCCTACTGGAGCAAAACTTCTGCAACTGCTCCCAGATGTTAAATCTCCACACAGGGAAAAGCAGTGCTCAACTTTCAGGTATTCTGCATAAGATCTGATGTGCTATTTCAAAGAACTGAAAGTTGTCTAAGCCTTCCATGAAGTTAAAAGTAATTAAAGGATTCATACTCCAGATATATCTCAAGGTTCCCACATAACCAACTTGTAATGTCACTATTACCCATGACTGAACTCCCTAGGACCAGGGCAGTGCTGACCATTGCTAAAAGCAGCACTCAGTACTAGCTGTTTAAAGAAAACTTGAAAATAGGACTCAGCACAAAAGCACATCCTAGAATAACTAAAAACAACAAAAAAAAATTCTGTTCATAGCAAACCTAACAACATTCATATCCCTTGGAGCTTATGATACTCGAGCAGCCTTCCCTTCACTTAAACCCTCTGACCTAGCAAACCTCTTCTGTAGCTGTTTATAGACCCTCATTCCTCTGCAGGGGGAAGTGGTGGTCCTTACATATGCTGCACCTGCTCTGCTGTACACCTGATCCCTCCTGCAACTGAAGGAGCATAGTATCACCTTATTCTTAATGAAAAATACAGAACTTCATTTCCTCAGGAGACAAAATCATATATCATAGTAGAGTCCAACATACACCCATTCTGCAGTGCTTATTACTGCTGACTTCCAAGGGAACTTTGTTTAACTTACAAACTGAATGGGTTGAAGTGTTGGCCTGAAAACCCAAGACAAGGATTTTCAAGACAACTGAAGTTCTGCTCCTGCCAGAAGGACCCACAATTGTTTCTTTAAAGTCTGTGCTAGATGAGATAGCTATATGAGTCAGCAAAAGAGGGCTCAAAACCTGACATCTCTTCTAGTGATTCAAGTCAACACAGTGTTTACAGAAACAATAATGAGTCACTGGATGACAAACAAGTTCCTGGGCTGGCAGCTAAAGGGAAACCATAGGAAGGGATTTGTAGATACATAAACTTTATTTTGGGATCCTTAGAGTAGTAAGGAAAGCCCACATTGTGTGGCTGCCTCTGAGTGCCATTTCATACACTAGCAAATTTGAGAGGAAAGGCAATGTTTGGGTCCTTACCAACCACTTCCAAGGCCCAAGCCCCAAAAGCACTTAATCTAGAAAGTTGCTAGTGTCACACACAGCAAAGCCAAGAGGGCTCACACCTAAAAAAAAAAAAAGACAAAAAAAAAAAAAAAAAAAAAAAAAAAAAAAAAAAAAAAAAAAAAAAAAGACAAACAAAACCTAAACACAAAGCTTTAAACCCCAGAAGCCACAGAGTCCAAAAGTCATTTTCTCTGAGACAGCCATCACCAGCTATACCAGCATGCTGCTCCATGAGCAGGACAATTTAAGAAACACGTATCCTTGGGGCTCCCTGTCATGAAGACTCTTGTGCCTAACAATGTATGTAAGCCCACTCTCCAGCCTTTACCCAAGACACCAGCTCAGGGCTTGCTCCTTTGCAGGTTCTTCTCTGAAGCGTATTCAAGACCATGGCAGGGGCTGCTGCTCAGAAGCAGGGAGGTAGCATGGGCACGCAGGGGTCACCCCAGCCGCACGTGGCAGCTCTGTGCATTTCCTCGTGCTCCCACCTTCCCTAGCTTGAAGCCCCCAACCCTACGTGTTTTGGTAGGAGGAGTTTAGGAGACCGATCTGGAGAGGACCTCGGACCCCAACACTTGAGGGCTGCTCCCGCCGGGCCTGGCACCTGAGCGAGCCCGGGAAGCACTCCGCCATGCTCGCCCGCTTCCTCGCGGGCGCCTCCCCACAATCCCCCAACCCTCCCGGGCAGAGCCGGCCTCAGGCCCCACCGCCTCTGGGCCGCCACACGCGGTCCCTCCCTTCCCAGGGGCGGCCCCCACTACAGGCCCGGCGATGCGGCCCTTCCCCTGCCCTCGCCACCCCTCTTGGCACAGACTAAGGACGGCGCAGTCGCGCTTCGAGAATATCCCCCCCC